CACAACCCACAGTCCCTGTCCCCCTGCGCCGCTCGGGGGGGAGGGGGTAGAGAAAATCGGGAGTGAAGTTGAGCCCGGGAAGAAGGGAGGGGTGGGGGGAAGGTGTTTTAAGGTTTGGTTTTATTTTCTCATTACCCTACTCTGATTTGATTGGTAATAAATTAAATTCATTTTCCCCAAGTCGAGTGTTTTTCCCATGATGGTAATTGCTGAGTGATCTCTCCCTGTCCTTATCTCGACCCACGAGACTTTTGTTTTATTTTCTCTCCCCTGTCCAGCTGAGGAGGGGAGTGATAGAGCGGCTTTGGTGGGCACCCGGTGTCCAGCCTGGGTCAAGCCGCCACAAGCCCCCAGCACGTAGCAAGCACCTTCTCTCCAACGACAGCCCCTACAGAGCAGTACTACCCTGTCAACCAGGGAGATGTAACTGCTCAAAGGCAGAACAGAAATCTGAGCAAAACTAAGGGCAGCATCAACAACAGCTGTAGACTCCAGGATCCTCAAAGCCCCCAAGACTGTGGGCATGTATGTCTTATGTGCAGGAGACTGGGATCAAGCAAGACACACTCTTATCTTAGAAAAGTGCAGCAACACAATCGCATGAACTTGTGTCGGTAAGGTTACCTGTCCAGGCTGTGTGTGAGAGGTAAACCTGAGTTATCAGCCTGTGCCTTCCCGGACCGGGATTTCGAAAGTCAGCTGGTTTAGGATGGATTAGTTGTGCTTGTCCATCTGGATACAACACCTATAAGAGGCAAAAAAACCCCATGAAACAACTGAATGACAACTGGACCGGGGATTTGCACAGCGTGCGTTATTTTGGCGTTTTCTGTTTGAGTTCAGAAGGCAGGAAGGTGTGCTTTATCTTGGAGCCAGGAGTCCAGTTGCCCTAGATTTAACAGCCACACGCCGGCCATTCAGACCCACGGCACAGGTGGAAGAAGAATATGCTGACATCAGCCTCTTCCTCTACATTGTAAACAGAGGTTTTCGTTTCTTCGTTATGCAGTGAACTCGCATTATTTTACTCGGCATCATACCACACCCACCTCTTTAGCTGTATTTGAAACTAGTGATTCAGCAGCAGGAAGCAAGTTAAGTTGTAAATACGGAGAGCCGAGAGCCCGCATATTTCTGTGCCGTTCAGAACAGCTTCTTTTGCTCCTCCGTCTCCCACTATGCAAGCTGGAAGTTGACCAGCATTTATTTGTGCTCATGTCCGTAACGTGCCCAGAGCACGTGAAAGCAGAGGGTAGCGTGTGCGGAGCGCAGAACGGCATCAAAGCGCTCAAAGCAAACTCTCAGGAACTGTACGCAAGTCAGCTCAGCGCACTGTATACAAGCCAGTTTCTGAATGTGTGGTCAAAACACAGAAATCCGGCATTGTGACTAATAAAGAGTATAAATATTTGCAATTTAGAAGCATTGACATCCTTAAGGAAACTCCCCCTAAGACGCAATCTTGTTTGCATTTATGTCAAGCGACTACTTACCTGAACTTTAACGGTTCCCTGGGGATCCTGCACGTGCTCCAGAGTTGCATCAACATCCAGTGCCACTACCAACCCCGATGTAAACCTCAGAGGATTATCAGATTCGCCGGTAGGCTCAATAATATTTGCAGTAGCTCTATGGAGCTGTTAGGGGCAAAGCGGTTGGCAAAAATAAGGCGGAGGGAGGAGGGGGAAAGGGGGGGAAAAAAAAAAAAAAAAGAGACAATCATCACTTTTCTTAATGGAGAAATTGTGCACGAACTTTGGATCCTCTTAGATACTGCCAGGAATTACTGAGTCTTCTGTATTTTTAGCAGTAATCCTGAGGTTGCTAGGTAAGAAGAAAGCCTTTGAAGAAATAACACTTGGGACTGACCAAAAACCTGAATCCTCAAAGCTTCGTGGTATATTAGGAACTAGTCAGATGCTGAGACAGTCTGTAAGGATATCGCATTTTAATTCTCTGCGCTAAACTGACCTGCTCTGGAAGAGGAAGGTGGAGGAAGGTACTTTGTCGCAGTGTTGTCTGAAGAATCTTGACCACTTCCGAAGGCTTGGACGTCACGAGTCTAGGCATTAAGTCCAGCAATTTATCTACAAAACTGCCTTGCATATGTGGGAGCTCAGAGATGAAACATCTGCGTTAAGAATAAATTAAAAATCAAATAGTTTTTTCAACGTTTTCAACAGTATTGTTATTTTCAGCGAGGCTACTTAATCCTTATATTTAGTTACAATGACAGAATTAGATGCGTAGATTCCTCTTCTGATGCACGTCTCATACATAAGATAAAGATGATTTTGGATAGTTATGTTGGGACCATGCCTTGTGCTCAAACCGACAACGTCAAGGGCTATTCAGGTCTCACTTCTTAAGTCCTCCATCAATACATAGCCTAGCAGGCAAAGGAATCTAGATTCACAAAAAAGGAGCTAGAAATGTTGAGGTGCCCATCAATAACACGTGAATGAGAACCAGGTACTGTAGGGATGCGTCCGCCCAGATTGCACGTGCGGCTGTAATGCTGTTTAGATAGTAAGAGTGCTAATTAAATGAGACTACGGGCAATTCTAGTACTCTGCGTTCAACCCCCATGTCTCAACAAAGAAACACAGCTAGATGAAAGAGCCGTTCCTACTATAGTTGCCTTGCAAACTTTTGAAATTGGTACTTCTTGTGTGTAGCAGAATACTTCTTGGGGCGAGCAGGGAAGTGATTGTGCCCCTGTACTCGGCCCTGGTGAGGCCGCACCTCGAATACTGTTCAGTTTTGGGCCCCTCACTACAAGAAGGACATTGAGGGGCTGGAGCGTGTCCAGAGAAGGGCAACGAGGCTGGTGAGGGGTCTGGAGAACAAGTCTGCTGAGGAGCGGCTGAGGGAACTGGGGTTGTTTAGCCTG